TGCCTCGCGCAACTGTTGTTGATGTGCGCTGGGGGGTCACCAAACTAGACCCTCTGCATGTCTTCGGACGACTCACTGGACTTGCCTCGCGCGCCCATGTCAAAACTTTCGCGTACCTTACCCAAGCAGATGAGATGATTCTAATGATGATGTATTTCACTGTCTACGCGTGTTGCGCCTTGCTCAGCGAAACGGCGATGCCTTCCCTGGCGTCAGCAACGACCCGCCTGCACCTGGCGGCCGCCTGACCGGTGTCGTGGGGCCTGGGCCGCCTTCTATGGGTAGCGGAGGCGTTTCTGTCCTCTGCACTTCCTGATCACCCGCCTTGGGAGCTCGGAAACCAACATCTCGCCCCACATTGTATATCTCGTTGATCCTTTGCTCCCACACGCCCGCTGAGACGTACTCTTGGTACTTCCGATACAGCCTCAGCGCTGTCCGCGAGTCCTCGATCGAGTCGTGCGTTTCGTTCTGGATGTTCTCCCGCAATACGATCCAAGCAAGGAACGCCAACGAAAGCTTTCGCAGGCGCGTGTGTAAGTAGTACAGCTCGATCGTGTCGATGACTTGGGCCTTGGGTATATGGATGTTGATGACTCGGAAATCTTGCTTCAATCCGTGGCCCAGGAACTTGCAACCGAGATTGACCAACATCCACAGCTTCTTGTAGGCCACCTTCAACGGCACGAGATTGTGTTTCGACAAGCGTGGGTTGAGGTCCACTTCGGTGATGCCCGAGAAGGCGGTCAAATAATCGACAATGGGCTCCCGAATCAAGATATAATCATCGACGAAAGGCTCTCCTTCCGCCTCTCCTTCTCCTCGAATGACAGAGGTACGCGCGAGGGCGTATACCTTGGGTCGGATCGTTTCCCTCTCGCCCTCGGAGTTCATCTCGATCTCCGGTTGTCGCACAGCCACAAATTCGGTATCGAGTGCAATGATGCTGCCAGGACCCGGCGGCTCTGTCGCACCATCGAGCGTCCGGTATGTCTTGCTGTCGTGGAGGTGACTGGCTGAACATCAGAAGGTGCTACAAAAGGCGTGACTCCAAACGGGGACGAGAACACTGACCTTGAGTCCGTGAATAGGAGCGAGGTGTCAATCTTTTGCTTCCACGTTGTGTCCATCATATTGTTCGCCTCCTTCACTTGAAACGTCAAGACCGATGGAATTTTCCAGTTCGCGTTGAAAGAGAGAGCTTCCTCCTTGCTCACCGAGCGAACCAAAAAGTCATTGAATAAATGCCACTGACTCGCCTCGGGGGCTTCTGGCTGGCAGTGGCCAACTGAAGAGTGTTAGCGCCGTTGGGGCCTCTCCGTCACAGGATCTTACCATTGATCATGCCAACCATGTGCGGCTTCTGGCCAGGGCCAGCCTCGACCTCCATCGTCATGCCAATCAAAGAGTAGACGGTTATGTTGTGAATCCCCCTTTGCAGATGGAGCTTCAGATCTTCACCTTCGTAACAGAAGAATTGGCCATGGTCCACTATGACGCCAATCTCCTCTGGGAGAAAGCCTGGATTCGCCCAAAGCCTACGGTGCTCAGGAGTCTTGACCGCCGTGTTGAGCATGAGCACCTGAGGTACACTGCTGATGGTTTTCCTCGAAGCGTTTGGCTGGTAACGTTGGCATTGGGGACACCATCCCTTCGATGGAAATTCCCGCTCAACACTCATTTTGAGCACCTGCGAAAAAGTGACCTTGGGGGCCTTCTGATTTCGCATCGGGGCCTTCTGTCGCACGCGGTCAGTCCAGGATTCGAGAAGCTAACAAAAAAAAACTTACCGCATTAGGATATATCAGTTCATTGACATTGGTCGGACTTGGGCGAGTGTATTCACTTCGACAGTTCATGCACCTTATGTATTCGGTGGCGGCGGTTTGAACGGCCTGTCTTAAGTCAGCCTACGGAAAGCGCACACGGAGACCGAGGAGGGCCCAACCTGAAGCATGAAATTAACGCCTGGAGAAGTAATGCGGAAATCTTCGACAATTTTGTCGAGTAAGAACCGTGTCAGACGCTGCAGCATGGCAGGCAGTGGGCCGCCGTTGAGGTCTTCTTCTAGCAGACAGAGAGCCGCCGCTACGGACAATCAGTTTGAGCATCCCATCAATGAACCGTCAAGGACTACTTAGATGACATACCTTGAGGCTGGTGGCTCAGCGCCTTCAATAAGTTGGTCGCTTGACAGATGGAGCCTTCTGCCTTCTCTAGCATGTCGAAAAGAAATCCGAGCTCGCACAGCAAACACGTCTCCACGATGCATGCAGTCGCGGTATGCTGTAAAGCCAGATTCCGGATCAAAGGCGTGAAGTGCATCACTTGCAGGAGCGCATTTGCATACGAGTTGGCAATGTGGATCTCTAGTCCGGAGTAGGCCGTCCTGTTGTAATACCTACAGGGCAACGGTTAGCTGACAAGGCATCAAGGTGGATAATAGTGCATACCCGAAGTCAAAGTCGTCAACACCAAACTTGCTGTATTTGATCTCGACATTACGATACATCGGAGGGCACTCCGTCTTACGGTCGCCGGCCATTTTCGCCGCAGCATCGTCAACCTCATCTTCGGCGCCAGCTGCCTGCCCGGGAGTTTTGGAGGATTCCCTCGCCTTTTCGCTGAGGAATTTGGGGGCTTGAATGCCGGTCACAGTTGTCTTGTCGGTCTTTCGCGTGTCTTCGACTTGGTTGCGCCGCAGCCCACGCGTATTTGGCCCATAGAGACCGAACTCTGTGGCCTTAAGGGTAGAAAGAAACTGGGGGTCAAGAGTTGGAGGCGGCGCCCCGACATCAGAAACCATGTCAGGCCATGCTGAAAGCAGTGGTTCCCGGTAATATGGCATGCCGACCATGTTGAGAGGACTCCATAATGTCAGCTTCACGTCATTGCGTGTCAAGGATCTTTGGCTTACGTTTCAGTAGTCCAGTCAATGGCAGGCGCAGGCGCTTCAGGACCGGCGAATTCAGTCGGCTGTGGAAAGTCGACAAAACGAATCTTCGAGGGGCTGCCCCAAAGATGAATTTGAGAGGCCGAGTCGGCCAGCGCCACTGCTTCGCCCGAACACGCAATTTCGAACATGGTGACGAGCGAGTTGACCACGTTGATTTGCCGCACATTGCTCGTGTGGGGGTTCATCAAGTCGACCACATGAAGCTGGCCAGTCTGCGATACAACAATACTGGTTGTGGACATACGTGGATGCATCCGCACGAAGGCCCCGCCTGCAGGGAAAGGAATAGGGGCCATGGATGTCATGCGCTTTATGTCGAAGACGTTGAGAAATGAGTCGGGCATGTAGCTCTGACTCTGGCGCAGCGAGAATCCGCAGGTAACGATGAAATCGTGCTGCGCGTCCATGTCGCTGATCAGTGCAGAATGCGCCTTCCAGCTTCGCACGACCGAGTAGTTTACAGGATCAATCATGTTGATAAGACCATCCTTGGTGGCCGCGCAGATATAGCGGCTCTTCTTCATGATCTGGTAAGAGTATTCGGTCGAGATCTAGCACGGGTCAGCGGTGAGACCCCATACACGAGCGCAGAACATCGTACCTCCTTGGTGATCTCTCCCTTGTTGACGTCAATGACAAACATCTTGTCCTGGAAGCCAGCCACCAGGATCTCGGCCTGGCCCTTCGACGTGAAATTCATGCATCGTAAGTCTTTGAATTCGTCGCTCCTGTTGGACGTCAGCTGATGCGCAATTGCAGCCGTGTGGCAGCATGCTGAGAGCTATACTGAAGATGCCAAAGTGGCGGTCCCCTCCGCAACGCCATATGAATATCTCGCGCTCCCAAAGCAATGACGCCCTTTTCGCTAACGAGGATCTGTCGTACATCGCCGTGGGTCGAAAAGGCTTTGAAAGAAGTATATCGCTGAAGCTCGGTGCCGTAGAAAGATGTTACGCGACCCTGTGATCAAGTCAGAGAAGATCCGGGCGGATTGAGAGCAGCCGAAGCTCACATAGTCGTTGCCTGTCCAGAGGAGTTCTTGTTGAGGGTCAAACGTCATTGTTGTGACGGGTGTTGCCATTGCCCGTACACCCGGAGGCGGGAAGGGAATACGGGCGACCTGGGGGTTTAGAACAGGTCAGCAACCGTTTTCGCTATCATATCCAAGCACGACCGCCCATGCAGACACGGAATGAGGCCATCGCCGGGCTGCCTGGGTGGCTCGACGCGTGTGCCCCGCGCAAAGGGACGCGCATTGCATACCTGATCCCAGTCTCCGTCCATTTTGGCTTCGGTTTCTTCGCCCCAATGAACATATCTTCGGAAGGAGGAAAGCAAGAGGTAAGGTATGCCGCCTAGCAGTGCGGTAAGATGTTGTCGTGTCGTTGAGTAAATTCGAATGCGCGCGCGCGAGACAGTCCCGCGGACTGGTCGAGAGTAGTCAGTCAACTCGGGCTCGGAGCGGCAACGAGGCTGTGGAGCCGACCTCGAATGCATGGTGGGGAGCTGTCGCTGTCGCAAGGGGGGGTTCACCTCCGTCGCATCTCCCTTTCTGCCGATGTTCACCCGGACCCCGCTTGCGACTGGAAGCTTTTTTTGGAAGCTGTGGAAAGGTTGTGGTAAAAGAGTGTGCAAGTACAAAGTTTTGGCCGCGATAGCGAGGGGATTTACTCTCGAGAATAATTTTGGGGTCGTCGATTGCCGTGTCGGCGTATACATGTAACTCTCGAGGTTATTTTCCAGTGTACCTTAGCTTAGATTGTTGTAGCAACAAGTCCTGTCACTCTCAGATTACTCACAACTTGTGTGAGTCTGGTCGTAGACATGCTCAACCTGTCAGTCAAAGGGTCAAGACAAAGTCTACGGGCCTGTCCGCACGAGGCAGTCCAGGCAGGCCTATTTCAACGTGTTCATGCTTGATTTTCGCAACTCATGTCATGGATATCATTCTTTGCTACCAATTACAGCAATCTAATCACCTCCCAACCGTGCTGCGGCAGCAATTTTCATTACCGAATCCATCGTCTCCCGCGGGATTCATCGCTTACAAAGAGCCGGCAGCCTTGAAGTGGTCGAGGGCCTCCTTGACGCGGACGGTCATGGTCTTCTCGGACTCGCGGACCCAGACACGGGGGTCGTACTTCTTCTTGTTGGGCTTATCGGCGCCCTCGGGGTTGCCGACCTGGGTCCTGCGGGTGGGGGTTAGCAACAGGAAGCAGAACACGAAGCGCCGAATCTACACAAGTGTCGGAGGCAGGAAAAAACGTACTTCAGGTAGTCAATGTTCTTGGTGACGTAGTCACGGACACCGGTGAGGTAGGCCCACTGCAGATCAGTGTCGAGGTTGACCTTGACGACACCGTAGCTGATGGCCTGCTGGAACTCGTCGACGGTGGAGCCGGAGCCACCGTGGAAGACGAAGAAGACGGGCTTCTCCTCCTTGCTGCCGAGCTTCTCAGCGACGAACTTCTGGTGCTTGCTCAGCAGCTCGGGGTGAAGCTTGACGTTGCCGGGCTTGTAGACACCGTGGACGTTGCCGAAGCCAGCGGCAATGGAGAAGTAGGGGCTGATGGCGGAAAGGGCCTCGTAGATGGCCCAGATATCCTCGGGCTGAGTGTAGAGGGAGTTGTTGTCGACGTCCTCGTTGTTGACGCCATCCTCCTCACCACCGGTGACTGTCGCGTGTGTGAGTATGTGATGATCCCTTTGGGCGAAAGAATCGTGAGTGGGTTTCACAACTTACTGCCAATCTCCATCTCGAGCCAGAGCTTCATGGGAGCGGAGCGCTTGAGGTAGGCGGCGGTGGTGTCAATGTTCCACTTAACATCCTCCTCGGAGAGATCGATCATGTGGGAAGAGAAGAGGGGAGTGCCGCTCTTCTTGAACTCGGCCTCATCGGCGTCGAGCATGCCATCGAGCCAAGGCAGAAGCTTCTTGCTGATTGGAGGGATCAGCGGGGGAGTGCCAAAATGCCTAGAGGTAGACGAATTCTCGCAACTTACGCGCAGTGGTCGGTGTGGAGAACGACGGGGACGCCGTAGACGGGAGCGATGGCGCGAATGTAGTGAGCGGCCGCAACGGCACCGGCGACGGAAGCCTCCTGCTTCTCGGCGCTGTTGGTGACGCCCTTGCCGGCGAAGAAGGCAGCACCGCCCTGGGAGCTGTGTTTTGTTAGCTGTGCTGCAAAGTGAAGCGACGAAGATTCGGTTCAGACGTACAACTGCAGGATGACAGGCGACTTGGAGTCGCGGGCGGCCTCGAGGGTAGCGACAACGGTGGAAGAGGAGGTCTGCGAAGTTGGCGGGGTAAGCGAATGCACAAACGGCGCCAGGACGAAGCACGGGACGACAGCAACATACGACGTTGACGGCGGGCATGGCGAAACCCTTCTCCTTGGCGTAGGTGAAGAGCTTCAGGACATCATCGCCGTAGATGACGCCGGGCTTGAGGTTAAGATCCTGGAGGACACCCATGTTGATGATGGACGGCGGGGTAGTTGGTGGAGGGGTAGGATGCGAAGGTGTTGAGAGAGAGGAATTGATTCTTCAAGAGGGTGATCAAGAAGAAATCGGTTGCTGATGAGTCCCAAAAAAGGATATATGGAAGAATTGGATGGTGAGGTGTAGAGAGGGAGGAGGGAAATTCAAGTCGAGGATGATAGAAGCACCAGTAATGGACAAGATATTGCAGCGCGCCATGTCCGCCGGCCGGCCCTTCTGGTGCTCAACCGCGTG